TTAGGTGGAGTTCTTGGTGCAGTTGTGTATCTGATACTAATAGAGGTTCATCATGAAAAGAATACAGAGAGTGAGGACGTTGAGCTGGAGAGAGTAGTCGTTAACAACGTGGTGGACACTGCAGCATYAAACCCCGCATACGAAAGAGGAAGCCACATCGAATTAAGTGAGCCCAGTGCTTTAGATCCTCAGAGCGACAGGAAGACTAAAAGTGTTTATCAACGCATTGTTCCCAACGATACTTCTACCCAGAACCAGAACAGCGTCACTACGCCAACAACTAGTAAAAAAGCGTTTGATAACGATAATGCCGTAGTAGATGATGCTAATATTCCTAACAATGATTCAACACAGTTATAAAAATAACTGAAATTTTTGAATCTGCTATTGGAGGTAGCATCAAAATGGCTCGTCATCAATCAGCAGAACAAGGAGAGGTCTCTCCCTTGATTTAGGGATTTGTTTGCGGGTTTCCCGGTTATCCTCACTCCACATTCCTGACACGCTAGATTCTAATTCTAATAATTCTTTTTCAAGGAAATATGGTATGCACTCTAATCTTCGTTTGCAATAGACGTCATAGCCGCCATGTTGGAAGAATTTGACAAAAGATTTTTCAATGAATTCTTTTGTTATATCTTCCAACATGGCGGACATTCCTTTTGTTATTGTGCTCTCTTGGGATTGATTGCAAACCAAGAATGGAGAACATAGCTACTTGGTGTGATTATGGTTATTTTTGATATTCTCCCGTATTGTTCTATATCAAGATGCTCTCTTGCCTGTATATAACATTTTCGCGTGCGCAACTATTTGGAATATCTATCCGCGCACGTCGAACGGTTTTACTATAATTTGATATAACTTTAAGTAATATATATAATTTATGTATAATTTGATACAAAGATAGAGTACAAACACTAAAAGTGTAGTAAATAGTGCTAATTAAACAATAGAAAACAATAGGATTAGCATAATTTAGCAGTAATTAGTGGTATTTATGTTGCGCACTTATAGTGTTTGTACCCTATAAGAGCCACTCTGTGCATGGAATTCACTGTTAAATTCCAATATTATTATTATTATTATTTTTTTAGTGTGATTACATTACTTTTGATATATAGGCTTTATATGTAAATATCTTATAGATGCGCGCACCTTTTGAGTTAAAAGATTTCGTATGATGTGACGTGCCGTGTCGCGATCGAAACGGCACCGTACCCAAGCATTAGTTCACTGGATTAGTTAACTCACATGATTGGCTAGACCAGAGGCGAACACTTTGTAGGGTGATTTTTGCTGTTATACGAAATCAGCTGGATCTCTAATGATTTACCTCCATACCCTGATGCAAAATATTACTATTTGTAAAGATATATAGTGATTGTGGGTATTGCTTAGATTATCTACGTTTGCGCAACGATTTCTTACAACTCGATATATAATTATTTAGCTGTTTTAGTAATTATATACTTTTTATGCTTTTTCTGCGTTTACTTTAAACACAATCTGTAATTATTTTCAAAATTATGCACGTAGAATATCTACGTTTGCGTAACGATATCTACGTTTACGTAACAATTTATTTCAAGTCGATATATAATCATATAACTGTTTCCGTGTGGTTATGTACTTTTTATAACGCGTTTACTTTAGTAATTTGTGAACTTTATATTTATGTGCGCGTAGAATATCTATGCTTGCGCAACAATTTCTTACACCTTGATATAGAATTACAYAGCTGTTTGCGTGTGATTATGTACTTTTGGTGCATTTTAATGTTTACTTTAGTGATCTTTCAATAGAATATCTACGAGAGTAAATTCTCTACTTTTACATCCCCATAATGCCTTTGCGTCTTTGGGGGGGTTACCAATCAAAAAACTGTCCCAAATTGAAAGGTTTCTTAATTGAATTTATGATATACCTGCTTTTATCTGTACAATACTGATTATCAGTTTATTCCAAGTTTTTTTTGCGTGTACAGATCATCGAGAGTTTTGGTCTTACAGAAAATGTATTGACTTACGAAAAAATGTTTAAAATTTACCTTAACGTCTTCAAGCTTCTATCTTTTTCTGTTTTTTTACTTCTTCGTTTTATTTTTGGATGCCAAACGAGGTATTGTCAACATTGTCTGATCAGCCTTCGACAAAATAAGTGGGTTTTTACCCTCGGGTTACCCCCCAAAGACGCATAGTATTATGGGGATGTGAAAGTAGAGAATGAGAATATCTATGCTTGCGCAACAATCTCTTTCAACTCAAAATATAATGTTATAGCTTTTCAAGTGTGGTTATATACTTTTTATGCTTCGTTTAGTTTAAACCCATTTGCGGGATTATCAATATGCGAAAGCGCGAATATTTTACCATTGTATTAAATACTATTGATTTTCATTAMAAATAAATATATTTCATGAACGAAAAGTTTTGTATTTTAATTCGTATTCCTATTTATCTTTTATTGGTGGCACAATGGTGTAATTTTAGCCATTTTTAGCTGGTTTTTTTCTCTCTTCACTATGAACAAATTTTGATGTTTAAAAATTATGTAAACCAGGCTTTAGGCCCCGTCCACAATGCATGGTGAACTAAGCCCCCGTCCACACGTATCCGGAAATTTTTGTATCCGCAAATTATTTTTTGCGGATACGAAAATATATATATACTACGGGTTGCGTCCACACGTGTCCGCAAATTTTTGTATCCGTATCCGCAAATTTTACAAAAACGGATACGTGTGGACGGTGAAAACTATTCGAATACGCTGCGTGTGGACGCAAACATTTTCGTATCCGCAAAAAATAATTTGCGGATACAAAATGTCCGGATACGTGTGGACGGGGCCTTAGTTCACCATGCATTGTCTTATTAAAAAATACTTTCTCAGATATCAATCAAAAGTCCCATCCTCTTTCACCAGGGTGTGATATTTGGATWTTTTAGTTCATATAATTTCTATTCATCCATTCTTTCATGATATTTGCCGAGCTGACTTGGGCCACACATCAAGTTGACTGGTACAGCTTCATCTATTTGAAATGAAAATAATTTCAAGTTTCAATACTAGACTTAGTAAGGGTGAATGGATGGATGGATGGATGGACGGACGGACGGAAAGACGGGTCAGTAGCCTGCTTGCAGCCGGACTTTTCTCTCTGAGGCCGGCTGCACGCAGGCTAACGGGCCAGCCAAATAATTCACAAATAATGTCCAGTTCAATAAAATAAGTTCATTATTATTTTACCTATTCTCTTTGGTTTAGTGAGTCCAAGGTTCTCCATGATTTTCACAAATTCCTCTTTGCTTTTTGTCAACCTCGGATTGTGCTTCAGCTCCTCTTCAACAGATGTGGATGTTAGGCCTATGATTTGTCATAATAAATTCCAATTAGTTTATTATTAACTTATTAAATGACATTTCACTATAACATCATTAAAATAACTTTAACCTTTATACCTTTATAGTCATGAGCTGGATAYAGAATGAAATCTTCAGGGAGAAAGAGGATTTTTTTCGTAACTGAATCATATAATCTTTCGGGAGACCCTGTGAAAAAAGAAAAAAATTAACATGCTGGAGCACGGGTGGTGTGGGCTGCTAATGCGCCGCCTCTCACCAATACGATCTGAGTTCGAGCCCTGCCGGTTTCTGTGTCGTATGTGAGTAGAGTTGCTTGTTGGTTCTCTCCTGTGCTTCGAGGGTTTTTCCTCTGGGTTCTCCGGTTTTTCCTCCCTTCACAAAAATCAACCTCTAAATTCTAATTCAATCTACCGGCTGCCTTATCAATTGGGGCGCAATCCTGTTAGGCATTAAGCCGTCCACCCAGGAGTGGTAAACGCATTAGATTAGATAGATAGATAGATGCATGAGATAAAGAAATATAATTATATGGGTTCAATTCCTGTACTTGTAAGGTACCATATAAACTAGAGCTTCCTGGGTCTCTCTACTCTGACTTAAATCAGCTAGACCAGAGGTTGTTTCAGAATTTGATAGAATCTAATTTTCCTTATTATWCTGATAATATATTATTACTAATTTATTGTATAATTTATGAATTGCGTATTAACTATTAAATACCTTCTTGAAAGTCTGTTCTACCACACGCCCTGATCAACAAAGCATCRCCAGTGAAAGCCATCTTGTTAGCATGGCTGACGAATGTCATACAGCCTACGTCCAAGTAATAACTACATCAGCAAGAATATGGGACTAGCTAGGGGTAGAAATGGGGGAACTTCAAGGTAATCAAAGGATTTAAGGATCAGATTTTCCTAAATTATTTTTTAAATTTACCTCTGAAAATATCAAGTCAAGGGGGGGGGGGAACAAGCCAA